ATTCAGGGCAGAATTCTTGGCTTTCCTATCAGTTGCTGAAGGCCACAATCTCTTCGCTGTTGGGACTCAGAATGGAGAGGTGAAAACCATGAGGCCAGTGAACATTTGAGACCGCTTCAAACTTACTCTTATTGTGACAGTTAGGGATAATGGGCATCCTCCTCAGCCTGCTTCTGCAAGTTTGAGAATTCTTCTATTGGATGGCTTCTCTGATCCTTATATGAAGATTATGGATAATCCTAAAGGTGAAGTCCCGCGGGAGGATACTCTAACACTGCATTATCTGCTTGGTTGCCATCTCATCCATTTTTTGCCTTTCTGTTTATTGTAATCTAATATCAGAAATGGCAGAAATTCATGGGCAGCATTAGTTCTGTATCTAATGTAATTTTGGGACACAATTTGCAAGAAAATGGTGGTGATCCTTGTTCTGATACAATTACGAGGTAGGTTTCACTGGTTGATTTTTGACTAGTAAGTTCCAATTCTTCAGGCCTGTTTCCTGGGTTTTTTCCCCTTCTTCTTTCTTTAATGGATTCTCTTTGCAGCCAAATGCATACAAGAAATTCAATAGATTCCCATAAAACCAAAACTCATATTAAGGAAGATAAACTGATGTCCAAAGTTGGAATAGTATGAAAACATTTCAAACAGTTTTACATTTTAATTTATAATATTTTATTATTTGAATATGTTGTCAACTGTAGAACTGTTTTCTTGTGATTAATTCTAGGAAAGATTTATCTCTGAGAAGATTGCTTTGTCTGGTATACATTTTTTTTCTTTCTTTTTCTTTTGTTTTTCTTTCTCACTGTTTCTCTGTATTTTGCTTTTGTAATCTTCAATCCTGTTCGTTTTGAGGAAGTCACAATAATATTTCATGTGATTCTTTGAGTTTTCAAAGTATTGAAAGAAAAGTAACAGGGAGCATAGGGGCTTTGAATACAGTAGCTCTTACTTCAGAAAGAACCTCTTCCTATGTTAGGCTAGAACTAATACTATTTTGATCACCTTCATATTTTTTAAAAATTAAAACTCTAATAATTTCAAAATAAGGATTGCCTACAGTTACATATCCTGTGGACTTTATTCATATTATTCTATGACTGAAATTAGTTAAATCTAAATGGAGATGATTAACGTAGATCCTTTCCTCTTATTGTTCTGTTCCAATATAATCTAAACAATTTATTTCTGGGTACCCTCAGGGAAAATTATATTGCAATTCTAGAGTTGTATCCCTCTCTCTCAATGTGCTGTTGAACAATAATATTATTGTTTGGGGATGAGGTAACTCACCAACCTTAAGAGCCATTATTTCCTGTGGAATCTTCATATTTTGAATAGGTAGAGAGCCTTCAAAACTATGATTTACTGCTTTTAATTTAGAACAGACTCATGAAATAATAATCAGTCCTACAGGAGGATTCTTCAGACAGCCACATGGTGGCAGAATAGGCAAACATATGACTGGAGATTCCGAAATTTTGTGTGAGCTGAAATGAACAAAAAGCTATGACTTGGGTTCTGCAAGAAAACAAGAAGATTTTAACCAATGTAAAGATGAAAGCTGTGAGGTAAAGCAGCAGGAAATGAGCTCTTTGTGAGAGACAATAACTGGATGAAAGTAAGGAGATTTATATTCTGTTCAAGAATTAAGAAGAGTCCTGAATCATGGAACAATGCATTAGGAGTAAACAAGGTATGTATCTTTTTTGGTTGCTTTGTCTTCCTGGAGCATTATGTATTTCAATCTACTATTCTACACCCGAAGAAACCAAAAATGGTTCTAAAGTGGCTAACGTGCTGAAGGATTTGAAACTGGAAGTACAGGAATTCATTGATCGCAGAGCCCATCTCATTTCTGAAAGCACTAAACAGTATTTCTCCCTTGATATTCATACTGGGGATATATTGATAAATGATAAAGTAGACCGGGACGTTCTGTGTAGCCAGACAGATGTTTGCATACTTACATCTCAAATTGTGCTTGACAACCCGTTGGAATCATACAATATTGAAATAGTAATAGAAGACATAAATGACAATGCTCCCAAATTCTCGAAAAATGAATTTGGGATAGAAATTCCTGAGAATGTTCCTACAAATATGGTTCTTCCCTTGGAATCTGCAGATGATGAGGACCTAGGAGAAAACAGCATCCAAAACTATACACTCAGCACCAATGACTATTTTTGGCTTCACATGCAAAGGAACAAAGATGGAATTTACAGCGTGGATCTTGTTCTAAACAGATCACTAGATAGAGAAAAGGTGTCACGTCTCAATATCACCCTAATGGCTGTTGATGGTGGGGTACCACAGAAAACAGGCACTGTTCAAATTAACATTGATATTCTGGACATAAATGATAACCCTCCTCAATTTTCCCAATCTGAATATAAGGTAAAAATAAAGGAAAACCTTCCTATGGGCACTGCAGTGGCTAAAGTGGAAGCTACAGATCTTGATTTGGGTTTAAATGCACAAGTCATCTACTCATTCCATAGAACGCCTGAAAGAATAAACAGTTTGTTCATTTTAAATGAAAAGTCTGGAGAAATCACTCTTAGGGGACAGATTGATTATGAAAAAGAAAGGAGTTATAGCATGAGCATCAGAGCAACAGATGGAGGAGGACTTTCAGGGCACTGCAAAATACTAATAAAGGTTGAAGATGTCAATGACAATGCCCCAGAGGTGTCCATCATATCTCTGACCCGCATCTTAAAGGAGGATTCGCCTTTGGAGAAGGTGGTGGCCCTCTTCAGTGTGAGAGACCAAGACTCTGGAGATAACAGC